CTCACTTCCAGAAAAATGATATTGGGAAACAATCTTCCACTATGCATTAGAAGGGAATTATCCAGCCTGGCCAATCTCCATTTTTTTTTTTCCAGTGTTAGTTCACAAGGCAGATTCTACTTGAAAATTTTATGTGGACTGTAGAGCCCTCAATGCCAAAAGATTCAAGGATAAATTTCCAATTCTTGTTATTGAGGAGATGTTGAAAGAGATGCGTGGCCAAGTAGAATCTTCGCTTAGGTCACTATCAAATCTGTAGAAAATCTAATGACATTGCGAAAACAGCTTTCCGGACTCATCACAACTATCGCAAATTTTTGGTAATCCATTTTGGTCTCACCAATGCGCCTTCTACATTTCAATCATTAATGAATCACATCTTCCAGCATTATTTAAGGAAGTTTGTGTTAATTTTCTTCGATAATATCCTCATAGCTGATCATGGATTGAGCATCTTCAACACCTTCATATTGTTTTTAACATTCTTTGAAAACATGTGCTATTTCCCAAGAAATCTAAATGTACTTTTGCTCAAGTTTCAACGGCTTACCTTGGTCACATCATTTCTCAACAAAGTATGACAGTTGACGAAGAGAAATTGAAACTATGAAAAGATGGCCTCTTCCCACTTCTGTCAAGGCTTTGAGAGGATTCTTGGGTTTAACAGTGTACTACCACAAGTTTGTTAAAGATTATGGTGTTATTGCAGCTCCTATTACAAGTATGTCGAAAAAGCATGCCTCCTTTTGGTCTGATGAAAGTTGGCTAGCCTTTGAAACTCTCAAGAATCTTATGATGACTACACCAGTGTTAACTTCCAGATTTTACCAAGTTTTTGTTGTTAAGTGTGATGCTTCTGACCTTGGTGTTGGAAATATTACAACAGTAGGACTGCCTTATAACGTTTTCCCACGGTTCTTTGGCTCTATGTCACCTAGGCCTTCCTGCTTATGAGAAAGAGTTAATAGGGCTGCTCAAGCTGTCAGGCACTGTATATGTTATTTATGGGGACAAAAATTCAACATTAAAAGCCATCATTATAGTCTCAAGTTTTTAATTAGAGCGGTCCATTCTTAACTCTCCATATCAACATTGGATTGATTTGTTGTTGAGTAAGCTCTTGGGCTTTGATTTGTTGTTGAGTACAGAGCTGGAAAAGAGAATGTGGTGGCAGCACTTTGAACTCCACTCCAATGAGGGCTCTGCTATGCTAACCAATGCTTCAAAATCATGCAAGCAGGCTAAGGAGTAAGGTCAGTCTGGTACAAAGAAAGCAGGTGGAGAAAATCGAGACAAATTATAATACACTTTCTGCAAGAAACCAAAGCACAAAAAATAAAATACTGGAAAATTCCATGAAAAGCCTCCCACTTCCAGCAAAGAATGTAGATACAAAAATGTCTCACAAAATATCTAGGGACAGCCCCATTTGACAAATGAACCAGTGAAAGACAGATAAAGAACTCAACTTGAGTCTCTAGAAATCTCAGACCAAGGAATTATCAATGGAGCATGAGTTTGTAATATCCGGATTATTCCCAAATCTACTCTTG